TGTGTGTGTTTTTTGTTGTATGTGATTTATTACATTTTTAGTCATATGTATGTGTTTGTGTAAAGGTTTTTACAATGACGTAATGAATTACTACATACAACACAAAGACTGGAACGGCATCAGAATAAAGAAAACATTTTGCCATAAAAGTGAAAGTTTTGGTCTTTAGTGAGGGTGAATGGCTGGTTGTCAAGTGCCATCATTTCCATCATTAAATTGCTTGAGATTTGCATTCTCAAATTGGGAGTAGTTGTTCTGACATTTTTATGTTTATAATTATAAAGTTTGTGCATAACATACATGGTTAATTGGTAAAATAATATTAATGATTATTAAAGTGACTGGTTGTTTTCCAGCACGGAGTCTTCTAATTAGTAAAGGAGTAGATTGTCCTTGTTTAAGTTGTGCCATTGGAGTGGTCACCTCAAAGAAACATTGGAACAATTTATTTTTGTGTGTTTTTCTTTTTCTAAATTATAATGCAAGAAAATGGGTTGTCGTTCATTTCATTATGTAATCTTGATTTATAAAATGATAACTTTTAGTTAAAAGAAAATATAAATCAAAAACATAAATAACATTATTAGTTTGTTTATTATCTTAATTAAGAAGAAGAAAATGTCTCTTTATGTTTGAGACGACACATTGTGGCTTAAACTAAGTTTTAAATGGAACAGAGTTTTTTCTCTCTGAAGGAGGTTTTCTGAGACCAAGGTCAAAGACAAGTGGAACGGTTTATTCCACCTCTAGGTGACCACTACACCATTGAGCGATAGGGTCACTAGTGAAACGGGAACAGTGGAAGTGATTTACAGATGTGAATCCCTTTTGCTTCCTCAAGTTGCTACGTGTAGACTTGAGTTGGTGTCCTTGCTATTTCTGACCATCATAAATGGTGGGCGCCAAGACCTGGGGACGCCACCCTGTCCGCACCCCGTGGGTAATTATAGTGCATCCTGGGCCATCGGACTCCATGCCTCTACCAGGACCACCCACCCCAGCAAGAACCATCATATAGAACCACTCGCATTCTTTAAAATCTTGCTTGCCCTCCGAGGTCTTCCTGAGTTCTTGCTCTTTCTCACAGAGGGAAGCGGCTCCATGGTTAGTGTTGGGACTGGAGGCAGCTCTGTCTATTAATGGTTTACAAGCCTCTCCTATGTTTCAGACACCTAGTATGAGTTCAGAGATTTCGCAGTTGAGAAATGCAACAGTCTAAATAAAGAGCAGTGATCATCTAGTATGTTGCTGTTGGGTGTTGGCTTGCCCCCACCTGGATGTTTCACTTGGACAGTTTATAGAAATTTAGTAACCAAGGGTCAAGAACCACAACTGACCTCAGTGTCTCTGATAGAAACAGGAAACAAGCCTCCCAGGATTTGCCGTTTTTAGACAAGAATGTCAGTGTGAAGAAGCAGTGAGTTTGAGTGTCATGTTGAAACCTTTGTCCCACATCCTGCTGGACGATGCCTGACATATTTCTCTCAAACAGTGCACCGTAGCTCTCTCTCTTTGGGCAGCTGTTGGTATCGGGCTGTTGGTGATGAGTTGACATGATAAATGCCATTTGTCAACAAGCTGTATTTAGTTTGTGACTCACTGTGGGCTTTTCTGTAATGAGCCTATCCTGGTGAATTGACATTTCCATTGTTACAGAAACATGTTTTCAATGCCACACTCTTGCACATATGTACCCACTAAGAATGATTTTATAGCATGTTACACTTCAAAGGCATGCTATAAAAACATTTCCCTGACCGCAGTACTCATTACAGTGTGCTAGCGTCACCAGCAATGATGTTGCAACAAGGCATCTTCGTTGCAATTAGTCATCTTGTTCTTTTCTCAGCACTAATCATCTCTTCCTCATCTCCTTAAATATAGTGCATATTGATTGGCAACAAATGTTAGCACAAATACCATCACTTCTTAAAGTTTTTTTATGAGAATAATTATGAACAAGGTTCCTTTTTTATAAGAGGAAGTTGGAGATTTTTTTGTATCGGTAGTGCACACGGCAGCAAACTTTACAGAAATCATTACAAGCGTTAACTACATTGTTGATGCGAGTAATGGTTTCCAGCAACCATCTGGTGCTCTCTTTATACCCTCAAATCCTGAGTGTTTGCTTTTCACCTTCTTCTTTTTTTTTGGTGATAGATTTAAAGTACTAATGATTATTTACAGGTCCTGCTGTCATACTTGAGAAGTTTCATTGTGTGAAAACTCATAAAAGCAGAGCTAACTGGCAACGTTTTATTTTTCGTCACAGTATCACATCAACAAACTCTCAGTCATGTCCTCTGACAACCACATGAATAACAGCGAGAAGGAAGTAGATGAGGTGGATGCAGCCTTGTCTGACCTAGAGATCACTTTGGAAGGAGGGAAAACATCCAACACACTGGTATGAAAATACTGGCACCATCACTATCACTACATTTATTTTTATTTTATGGGCTGTTTGGGAAATTGCACAACTTTTTTCAGCCCAGTGCTTAAAGTATGATCTTGTTTTACTGCAGCTCAGCTCTTAATTTTTAGTTGTATTTAATAAAGCTAACCAGTTATAATAAAGTGAGGCAATACGTCATAAAAAGTGTTGTCTTCAGCACATTGTGCTTCACAGCAACATAAAAAACAAAATTACAAAGTTGACTCTGAGCTCATTATTTAGATTATGTTTCAGTCTTGTATTAACAGTATTTTTTTTCTCCTTTCCTTACAGGGTGACATCACATCTATTCCTGAGCTAGCAGACTATGTTAAAGTCTTCAAGTAAGTCTCCTTTCAAAACGACTCAATCCCACAAGACTATTTAAATGTTTCCTAAAGACAAAGAAACTCTCTGTGAAACCATGTTAAGCCCTCATTCTTACCAAAAAGATTGTGAGTCAAACAAAGTACCATAAACCAATCTTTTCTGGCCTAACAGGATCTCTTTTTTTACCTGTGTTGCATTGGTGTAATGCGTTGAAATGTTTGCCAAGAGCTGTTTGCTGGGGGTGAGCTTTTAGCTTCTCTTCAGAGTGGCTGCACTCTGGACAAAGCAGATTTTGAATCTTATCCATATTTGGCTTGAAGACTTTGCTGACAGGCTGCTGGCCCCAGGGGTGGTTGCCTCATAAAATATACACAGTATAAAGTTGGGGAGAACACGGTAGCAAGAGGCATTTTATTTTTTTTAAATGGTTTTCCATAATGCTGGTCGCTCTCCAATTAACCTAGCTGACTTTGCACTTTAGAAACTCTCTGTTTTGCAGTCTATCATAAACCTATTTTCTCCTTTTTACTCCCCTGATTACTGCTGTTAAAGACAATGATGTGTTTGTTTTTTATTGTTATTTGGGGATATTTTTGTTTGTTTGTTCATMTGATTTGTTTACTTTTTATTTCTAGACCCAAGAAACTGACGTTGAAGGGCTACAAGCAGTACTGGTGCACGTTTAAGGACATCACTATTTCCTGTTACAAGAGTAAAGAGGAGGCACACGGGACACCGGCTCACCAAATGAACCTGAGAGGTGCTGATTTACAATTACAGCCACTATGTTGCGTCATGCCCATCCTACAATGTGATGCTTTATTTATCTGCTCCAAGAATGTTATCTTAGCTGATGGTTCCAAAAGAACGGGTCAGACCTTTGACCTCGGCTTCCTGTCTGCACTCTGACTCTTTCGCTGTAGGTTGTGAGGTAACGCCAGATGTTAACATCTCGGGTCAGAAATTCAACATCAAATTGCTAATTCCTGTGGCCGATGGCATGAATGAGATCTGGCTTCGGTGTGACACGGTAAGCCTGAACATAGTGCACCTTTATCTTCAGTGTTGTTGTTTGTTTTGTTTGTTTACGTTCCGTACGACTCATCACCAGGAGAAACAGTACGCTCACTGGATGGCCGCGTGTCGCCTGGCCTCCAAAGGGAAGACCATGGCTGACAGCTCGTACAACCTGGAGGTCCAGAACATTCTGTCCTTCCTCAAGATGCAGCACTTGAACCACGACCCTCAGTTCATCGAACCCGTCGCCACTGACATCAACCCAGAGTGTTTGGTGTCCCCACGTTACCTGAAGAAGTACAAAAACAAGCAGGCAAGTGACTTTTTTGGGCCTGTTGTGCAWTTTGTGTGTTGTTTATCTCTGTAGTGAGTGAGTTGTGTAGCTGGCTGGAAAAGAATGCAATGCTTCCCAGACAAGCACCACCTGGCATCAGCTGTCTTCCACTGGAATGTAACTTCTACTCCCCCCCTTTTTTTTACTTTTCTCATCCTCCCTCAGTTTCCTCCACCCTCCCAGWATAAATGAAAGCAGAGTTTTGTGAAACAAACATTTTGTAAATGGACTGTACATTTTTGTGCAACAGTAGCGTGTAAAAGGCGAAGCTTTCGACCAGTTGTAGTAGTTAATCACTATTAACGTACTTATTCTTTTTTAAATAGTTGGATGAGTCCTCACTGTGCCCAGCAGATTTACATACAAACAAATAGGCTGCAGTGTGTACACAGGAGCAGCTGAGTACACAGCTGTGTTAAAAGGGGGATGGATGARGCTGGCTTCTACCTTCCTGCTCTGTAGCCTACTCACTCAATCTGCTTCTGTTTAAATTGTAGTAAAAATGTGGAATGTAGGTCTGGAATTACGTCAGGAGGCGACGGGTACAGTAAATGATGACTCAGAAATAGTCTGGACCACAACCTGAAGAGTCATGTTTCTAGAGAGAGATGTATACAGAGAGAAAAGATTAGAAGAGTAAGGAAGGATGTAAAACAAGAAATGTTTGAGCAGGGCTTTACCACAAAGAGCAAAACATGTGGTATTAATAGTGATGTATGATAGCATCAGCATAAATGTAGATAAGTTAGAAGTTAGTATACACTATTTCAGCACATCTTTGTCCCAGTTTAAAGTCCTGTTTGCTCTACAGATATCAAACATTGAAAATAGGATCCCTCACTTTTGGGGTATTTGATATTTACCATAAATGTATATGTGCAAGGCAACAAAATAATGATTTTTAAAAAGGCTTCTGTTTACAATGTAGTTCTGAAATAGACAAAAAATGAAACTTTATTTTATTTATTTATTTTTAAAAGCTTCAACATCAGTGTTTCCCCATTTACCTATTGAATTAGATACAACACAGAGCTTTAAAATAATGTCTTGTGAAAGAAAGAGCTAGAAACATTATATTTTATATTTTGATAATTTGTATTCTATGCTGCTTTGCCATGCAGTTTAAACATTAAGAAGCTCTTTCTATCCCATTCTGAAACACAAAACGTAAGGTTATAAATATAACCATGGTTCCTTGAAGGAATGGAACAAAGTACAACACACAGTTGTATATGGGACACGTGTGCCTGCTGAAGCCACCTCTATTCACGTCTTTAGACCGGTGACGTTGAACGTCGGGTGACAGGCTCCGCCTTCACCCTATAAGTTCGGAGTCACCAGCGTCATTATTCAGTTCTATCGCCCTTCACCTCATGATAGTCACCTCTAAACCTGCGCTCACATAGCTGCTG